GATATGATTTTAAGGAAGTGATAAATTTACAATGTCACATGTTTTCCAGATTAAACTTATTAAACCATTTTCGAGAATTTTATAATATATTTGAAATCTGTTTAAGAAAAATGCTTCAAGCTGCCAACTGACCCTTAAATTAAGACAAAAAGGGGAAGAAAAAAAAGGTTGAGAAAATTTATGATGAGAATGAGGGACATATTTATCTGCACTTTACGATCTTACCACAATTCAGCATATGATGAACATAATCTGATGTTATTTAAAGAAGAAGTAAATGCACAGTGATGTGCAAAATAAAAAAGCGAACCCCCATGAATAACTTGTGACCAACTGATCGGATCTTCACGCACTAAGAGTCAATCTTAATAGTTTGAGGGTATAACATTAAATTGGCTAATTAATTACGAGACGATATTTTAAATTACGAAATTAGACATAAATTAAATTGCAGACGATATTTTAAATAATAATTGCAGATGATATTAGACATAATTTTAATTTGCAGACGATATTTTAAATTACGAGATTAGACATAAAAATGCATCTTTTCTGAATAAACACGCCTTCTTTACGACGAATTTTGAATTAAGAAAATTTGGCCTCAATAGTTTAGGGTGGAAAGTTTGGATTCTTAAATGTTATTTCCCTTTTTGCGAATTTCACCACTCTTCTGGAAATAATGATAGGGATAAAAAACAAACAAGTATGACGCTTGCTGCACAAAAACTATGACTTTGAAATTTAAATTACTAAGGTGTGTAAAAAAGTGTACGGGAATTACGATGGTATGAATAAATTAATATTCCACAATTTGTTCGAAAATTATCAACTGTTAAACTTAGGGAAATATCGTATGGCCTGCTCTACAGACTAGAAGGAATGCGACTACAGAGTTGAAATTTGGCATACTAAAAAGGTCTCATTTGTTTAGGAACCACACAGAGTTTTATTTATTTATTTTATTTTTTTCCAAAATTCGAATTTGTTAGAAAGTTATTAAAATTTTAAGTGCTTTTTCAGAATTTTTTCTCCCCTTTTTTGATTTATGTACATTTTGCTTTGATGTCCAAAATTCTATGAAACTTAGAAATTTGAAATTTCGGAATCGTGTTGAAAAGCGTACAAGGAGTTGGATGGAATAATAAAAAATTACGATTCGATTATTAGTTTGAGTCAAACTGAGCAAAAATAAAGTCTTTCTCAAAACTTGCAAATCTTTTTTTTTTTTTTAAACGTTGAAATATGTATTTTCTTTCGTCAATTTTCAGAGTTATTTCTTAAACAGATTCTTGTGCGAATAGTTTAACATAGGAATTGTATTTCATTTCTATTGAAATAAGTCCAAAGAAGCAGGAGGTTACTTTCGTCCAAAATTTAAAAATATTGTAAAAAATATAAAAAAAATTAGGATTTTTTTTAAAAAAAAATATGTACATTTTACTTCTCTGTACTTTATTAATTGTTTAAAACTCAATTTGATAGTTGAAAGTTCATGCATTACAATTTTTATTAACTAACGAATGTATAAGAGAAAAACACGAAAACGTAATTCAAAGTTTGTGACTTTTATTTTTGTCATACCAACAGATACTATAGAAATGAAGTTTGATCATAGATTTTTATTTTTCTTTTCTTATGATCTTAGAATGAATTGGCCTACGTCTTCCAAGATTTCTACTTCACCGCTGACTTAAATAATAATATTTTTTTTTTTTTCAAATTTTTGATAGCGATTACAACGGTAATAGGATTTGTGGAATGTTTTATGATTCATTTCTTACTAATGTTACTTTAAGAGTAATGATGAAAAAGCTAATTCAGTTTCCTAAAAAACAAGCAAAAAAAATTTCTATCTTGAGGTTGTTTTATTAACTTAAAAAATAAAATACCATTTTTTTATGGAAATTTTATTAGATTGAAGAATAGAACAATCAAACACATATTAATTTTTAAAAAAAATCTCCTTTCAGAAATAAAGTTAAGAAAACTTTTTTTAAAGATATATATTGATAGTTTCAGTTGTATTATAACTTTTACCAGTTTTTGATAATTTAAAAATATTCATTCGTAATTATTGCAATCTTACTACGATTAATGTTAATAAAGCTCGTTAGATTGAGTTTTGATAAAAAAAATAACAATAATTAATGATCTTACTTATTTCCACAAATTAAGTTCACTTTGTCTATTGTCACATTATCTATGATTGGTTGATTGGTGTCGTGTCATGGACAGAAAATAATTTTAAATGTGATCAAAGGTCCTATATACAACATCTGTTATTGTTACATTATCTATAATTTCCTGAAAAGGAAACTCAGTTAATGTTACAGTGGACAAAATTGTTAAGCTGCCGTCTTGCTCTTTTTTCGACTCACGAGCTAGTACTTGTGATGTACTTTTATTTCCCCTGTTGAGATCAAAGAATTTCTTATAAAAAGTCTTTAAACAAATCAAATATCTCTTTTTATTAAAAAAAGAAATATTCCACATTTAGCTAGACCAGTATTTTTGGTTCGAATAACAGAACTTCAAATCAACTGATCTTATGCGCGCTGTGTTATATGAGTGTGTAGTGTATCTACCACTACAAAAATATAATTCCAATTCACAAACTTTGTTAACTCAATTCTACGATGGTGTACCTACCTACCTTTCCATAGACGAAGGTTGACATTGTCGATATCAACTCTCCCGACATTGGTGACCCGGATGTGATGTGAACATGCCTACCTTGACAGAAACTCCCTCTACGATATGAGCGCGCTTATCTTGGCATTAAAGCCCTCTTCGATCGGAACGCGCCTACTTCGATGGATGGGACACATTACGGTTATCATTAACACCTAATATCTTAATACACCTAAAGTACGGTTATCTTAATACACCTCTCCTGGCTTCTCACAAAACAGCATTGAATCAACTAGTGGAATCCAGGTACCGAATTCTATCGCAGCTATAATTCTGGTCGTCGAGTACTGTATTGTCTGTAACAACTCTCCCCCACAAGTGTAAAGTGCACCAAAATTTTCATCTTTCCATTTTTCTTAAAAGAAAACCCCTGCCTACGCAAAGCAAACTTTTCCTATAAAACATTGTGGGCAATGAAAATATTAAAGGCAAGTCACCCCCAAAGGGTTTTCTTGAAGAAACGTTAAAGGAAACTCAACACAGGCTTTAATCTCTATGAGTGACCATTACCTGCACATGCAAATAGTAAATCATCAGTGCTGTATTACCAGCATATGAGTAGTAAGAAATGAGACGAGGAATGCTGCATGCTACATTATTTGAAGGGTTATTTTATTTCAGAGTATTAGATATATGTAGTTTAATATTTTAATTATTTACGAAAATAAGTGCATTATTACTTTTATTTTTCTGCAGGCAAGTGAAAAAAAAGAAGTTTTTAAAAAGGGGGGGGGGCAAAAAGTTATTTTTCTTTCTTTCTTTTTTCAAATCTAGCCTTACCGGCCCTACGCAGCCGCTTACCAGGCTTACACCTAAATGATGTCTACTGCAGTGTATCTACCACTACAAAAATACAATTCCAATTCACAAGTGTATAAGACATGTAAAATCGATTCTATGTAGGGTACCTTTTCATAGATGAAGGTTGACATAGTCGATTAATACTCTCCCCACATTGGTGACCCGGACGTGATGTGAACATGCCTACCTTGACAGTAACTCCCTCTACGATATGAGCCCGCCTATCTTGGCAATAACGTCCACTTCGATCTGAACACGGCTACTTTGATGATGGTCCACATTGAATTGTTGACTTGCTACTGCGACATTATTCGCCTCCTCGTGCTGTTGCTACTCAGTCTTGATCACGCACAACGTTGGCCTGTATGCACTCGACTGCTAATGGCAACACGAGAGCGACCACAAAAGTGAACTTAATACAGTTCTCACGATCAGCACTCAAAAATTACGGTGATCTTAATACAACTCTCCCGGCTTCTCACAAAACAGCGATGAATCAACTAGTGGTATCCGCTCATCGAATTCTGGTGGGGGAGTACTATAGTGTACTACAAAAATACAATTCCAATTCACTAGTATATAAGACATGTATATAAGACATGTCTACTCGATTCTATGTAGATACATGTCGACTAGATTCCTTTTCATAAATGAAGGTTGACATTGTCGAAAACCACTCTCCCCACATCTACTTCAAATTCCGGATATCCACACACTAGGTTGGAGTTAAATTTTCGAATTAGATGCCCCTAAAAAAAGGATCCAATTAAAGAAAGAAAAATATAAATTGGAAATACATACGTTTGTAAAATTATAAATCCATTGTAAAATTCATTCTGATATAAGTGGAATTCAACGGTTAAAAAATTTATTATTATCCTACTAAATTTCAATTGTGCACTGTATTTAAATTTCTTACTGTAAAGAATATTTAGATAGTAACTTTCTTACTAAATTTTACTTGAAAATCATAGGTTATTATTTTTTTTTTATGAAATATTTTCTATAAGCAAAATGTTTAATATTTGGAATAACTATTTTTGATAAATAATATCTATCGCAATTTTATTTATCTCTCCGATTTATTCACAAATATTAAATGCATCTAAAAATTACGGGCCTTGTAATTTTTATAATTTAAAAATAATGAAAGTTGCAAATTAAATATAAATATAAAACATAACAGCTTTAAAGCATGCATCAAAAATTTTTCTAAAAAAAAAATGCAGTAGATTTTAATCTTCTTAAGAGCATGGAAAACATTTCATATTGGAAAATTTCTGAAACACAAACTTAAATATTAATCAATTTTAAACGGAATTTTTTTTCTTCTTAGAAATTTAACTGACCGATTCTACTAGCTTTGAAACAAGAACCAGATCGAATAGTAATAGGACATCTCGTTTAGACTGTTCTGTCAAAGCTGTCATCATCTGCTAGACTTATTAAAGGCCAATAACATCCCTTTCACAGAGCACGTGATACCTCACACCCAATAGGAAGGCTCCGTTTTTTCATATGGCATTAACCTCCAAGCGAATGAATTATGAGACCGACAACAGTTTCGTCGTCTCATATACTGATAGTAATCCTCTCATCCGATGCCTCTTGGCTCAAGGCGTTATGCGGCTAATTAAGTTATATTAATCGTCATAATTAATCCATCCCCGAATTAAGCCTACTAGGATATTCTTTCTACTTCTTAAATCGAATTGTTATAGGTAAGCGAAAATTTCCTCATTGAAATGTAAATATGTTTCTTTTGAAATCACACCTTATCAAAAATAGTGATAAAAACATTCCATAGTTGCATTCCTTTTTATTAATAACGCGATTATTATACATATGTTGGATATATGATGTGTTTTGCTGTATTTTACTTAAAGTTATTTGTGTACTTTTTGTTTTAAATTATAATTGCCAGCTCGTTTTCCCCCGTCATCGCTATCCGGTTTGGCGACCAATTTTTTTTTTTATCTATAATTATTGTTCATTTCCGCGTTTCGAGATTTTTTCTGAGCCTAGAATTGTACAGCTGAATTTCTACTAGGTAGAGTTTTTCCTAGTATTATGTAAAAGAAAAAATAATAGTTCTAATAATCAATAAGAGATCTCTGATTTGCGATTGCTATGGCGGCTCTCTGTAACGTGGCAAGTCGAAGGCCTATGCACTGGCCTTGGCCACGTTGGACTATATGTGGGTGCGACCAGCTGGTTGATTGGAATGTGAATTGCTTATGAGATCTGTGCTTTCAATTTAAGTTGTATTATTTAATGGATGCTGTGTCATTATTTCATCCAATTTCTTTCGTTATTTCAAAACCGGAGTATTAATCGGTATTTGACAGGGGGCATCCGGGAGGGAAGGGGGAGCAGTTTGTTTACATAACACTTTGTCTAGATCACTTATTTCCCCCTCTTGAATTATTGATGACTTATTAGCTTTTTATGGTTAGAAATATTTTCATGTCATAAGTATTGTTATTCTATCCATCCCTTTCCTAAAATAAATCTTTTTTGAATGTTTGTGATAATTCAGTGTATCTTCACATTTTTTCAGGTCTCCTGATATGATATTGAGTAATGCATATTGTATATACGTGTTAGACTAGTTTTTCAAATATGGTTTAACTTGTGCTAATTTGTATTTTAGAAATTTTGTTCTGTAGGTCAACATTGATAATAAGTGTAAAAAGTTTGCCTGGTTTGCTTACTTGCCTTTTTATTGACTGGTTTTATGAACACGAACTGAATAAGTTAAAAATAAGGGTCGCTTATTATTTATCTATGAAACACTAGCTGGTATATTATCTCCCACTATTAATAATAATAATATGAGCTATCTTAAGTGGCTATTGATAAAAATGTTATATTTTGTTGCTCTGCTTTAATCCATCTTGCACTCAAACAGCCATATTTGTGTAAAATTGGGGTATATTTCCATGTTCTGATCTGTCGCATCAACTACAATCGCCAAGTTATCAAATCCATTTTTAATTTGCAAATTTTGAAAAAAGAAGGGAAAAAAAAACCTGCAGATATGTTTGCCTGAGGTGGCTACGTGTTGTACTTTTCAAGTTGGTCCCTTTCTGTGATGTTTTTTTTAGTTTCTCGCTGGCCACAGCCTAGAGTTGTCCAGACTTAGCAATTATTCTGCCACAGATCACGATACGGAAATCTCCCCTATAATTGCCTCTTTCAATTCTGCTTTAAACTACTCTAGCTGTGCTGAAAAGTTTTAAATTTCTTTAAATACAGCTTTTGTGATTTCCACAAGATTAAGGAAACCTGAAAATGTCACTTCAGGAAAGGTTAATATTTTATAGTTATACCCATATTCAAATTCTAGAAATATCTCGCAGCAAACTTTATTAATAATAAATATTCAAATGCACTGTAATATAATAATCAGAACCCATTGCCTGGGGCAGATATGCATAAAAAATGCAGATGCTGTTAGCAGAACATTTCTCACAATGTAAAATTTTACAATATTACTCATTATATAAGAATAGAATAGAAAAGGTCCAATATGTATTTGACTTTTAGTCACCGAAAATTGAATGGCAGCTGAGATTTTTATAAAAATATTAAATGTAAGAGGGTTCTGAGTAAGAGGCAAGCATTCTGAGCAAGCTGAGTAAGAAATGTAAGAGGCAAGCATTCATCAGTGTTCTCCCTAAGTGTTTTTTGAAGGGCCACTTTTCCTTTCATGCACCCCTTCACCCTTCTTTTTTCTGCACAGTTTTTGTTTTTTAGAATGCTTTTAATCATTTTTTATTAACTATAAATTAACTGCAATAACTAATGAAAATTACTTTTTGAATTGCAGACATAAATTATGTAAGTAATATAAAAATTGTTGAGGATCAAATGCAGCTATTTTATAATATTCATTTAGCTAAATTTTTCCGGTGTTAAGTGAGTGCCCTTTTGAAAGTTTTTTTGTGATCCATTGTCTGAGGATGGTTGTGCATGCCTGCCAAGTGTCCAGTTTTTTAACGAAGACTCATGTAATTTATGACTATCTCCTGTTTACCCATATATTGTGAAATTTCTCCGTATTTGTTGCAGAGATTTAAAAAAACAAATTTGCGATAAATTATTTGCTGATTGCAAAAATGCTTCTCTTATTTCTCAACAGATAGTGCTATAGTCTGTACTGCAGTATGTTGAATGTTAATAGTTTAAGGCCGGGATAGCCTGTTTCGCAGGGTAGGGTACTTGGCCCATGCCCAAGAGGTTATGGGTTCGATCCCCGCCAGCCGGATACTCCCCGTGTACTAAATGGTGTCTGATGCACTTTAAATCTGTCGAGTCACAAAGTCCTCCATGTTCCCATAACGAATCATACCTCTGGGGGTACTGATCCAGAAGTTTCCTTGTATTCTGGAGTGGTTCAAAATTGCAAGGATATTGAGTTGAACTTTAGTTAAAGTGGCCACACTTCCCGATTTTGGCGGGACAGTCCCGCTTTTTGGTCGACTGTCCCGTGTCCCGCCGATTTTTAAAATTGTCCCGCTTTTTAGAAAATGACGTCGTTTCTTATTTTAAATGTACTGTAAAAATATATTACCTATTATTTATTAAGTATTATGGCGAATATAAAGAAATAAAAAATGCATGCCGAGTAAACTAAATTACGCAATGTGTCGAGTTAGATTTATTCGGTGGTGTTCGATCATTGTTGTTACGTCTCGGTTTAATTCAGATAAGTGCGCACTGCCGTTAGACAGTGCGGTTTGCTGTTTTCAATTTGACATTCGGTTTTACTCATTATTTGATTGATAAAGGTAGACCAATAGTCGCCACAACATAACAGTCAATAAGGTAAAATTTAATTACTCTGTTTTAGCCTTTGTAGTAATTTTTTTATTTATTTCTAGTATTTACCCACAGAATAAGAGATGAATTAAAAAAGCGAATGCAAATTTAATGAAGAGCTAAGCAGAGAATTTCCATTTATTAAAAAAACCAAAATAGACTATATGGTGCGGTGTGATTAATCAGTGTTTTCACTACAGTGCGAGAATCTTGCTTATTTTTTACTTTTCTCGCATTAAAAAATTATTAACTCGAGAAGATCGCACACTCTATTAATCAATTTCAAAGAGTGCGAATTTTGGAAAAATTTCGTCTTCTGCCATTTTGAATAGAATCCGTTTAACTTCTCTTCCTTGATCTTTCATTATTTTCTACATCGATGCTTGTTATACAGCTTCCCTATTTACCAGTATTGTTTCAAACAGGTGCAAACAGCAGAACATAATCCCCCCCCGAATGTCGGAACACATTTCTCTGCAACCACGTGTTCACCGAAGGCAAGATTTCTTCATGTAAGACATTTAAATTTTTTTCAATGCTACAAATTTACTTAGTGATTCCAAATTGTTCAGCATCTGTTGCAACGTCATTTAGCACTCAAAACCGAATTAAGACAAAATATCGTATACAAATGACTGATAAACATTTGAGCAACCTAATGAGAGAATCTGATGAAAAAGTAGATATAGAACATTTTCCATATGATGATGCAGCAAAAATATTCAATGCTTTAAAAGTTAGGAGATGTTAAAAATGTATTATAATTGAAGAAATATTTTTTTACAAGTCTAATCGTGTTTTTTTAATTTTTAGAAATTTTACTTAACTTTTTGAGATCTCACCCTATTTTTGAGAAAGGGTGAGAAATTCTCTCTTTTTTTTTCTGTAATGAAAACACTGGATTAATGCAATGCTCAATTCTCGGTTTCACATGGTGGATAAAACAATATTACTAAACATCTAGCGACAAAGAGGCACGAAAGATTTTTGAATAATACCGCTTCCTGGTCTAAAACGGAACAGTTCTTTCGCAGTGCTAGCGTTGACAGCGTGGAAAAACAGTTAGCGTTAGCGGAAGGGCTATTTGCTTTCCACACCATAAACCACAATCAAAGTTTCGGATCAATAGATTCTACGTCGCAAATGATCGAAACATTATACAACAAAAAAATTCCATATGCAAGGACAAAAACTGAAGCAATTATTTGTAATGTTTTTTCACCATATTCGTTTTCACAATTGCAGAAAGAATTAGAAAAATTCGCATTTATATCTATATATTCTGATGCTTCCAACCACAAAGATTTAAAATTATTTCCCACAATTGTTAGATTTTGTGATCCAGAAACAGGAATTAAAATTGGAATATTAGATTTTGTTTCATTGCCAGGTGAAACTTCACAAATAATTTTTGATTCAATAAGTACTGTTTTAAAAAAGAATAATTTGAACAATAAAATTATTGCCTATTGTGCGGATTACACTAACGTAAATTTTGGTGGAAGAAGAGGCATCAATAACGTTTTTATGAAACTTAACGAACATTTGAACCAAAAGTTTATTGGAGATAGGTTGTGCAGCGCACATTCTACATAATACTATTCAAACAGCATCTGACTTACTTCCAGTTGATGTTGAAAATATTATTGCAAAAATTTATTCATATTTTTATATACATACTATGCGTGTTGAAAGATTGAAGGATTTTTGTGAAAGCGCAGAAATCGAATATAAAAAAATTCTTGGTTACTGCAAAACACTATGGCTAGCTCTTTTACCAGGTGTAGAAAATATTTAAAAAATATACGAACCATTAAAATAATACTTTTTATCACAAGATAAATGTCCAAGAATATTGTAGCTCTTTTTTTGAAATGACACATCCCAAATTTGGCTTCAGTTCATCCACAACACATTATTTCGCAATGCTGTGAAAATTATTGAAGGGGACGAAATTTTTATTACGGAAGTGTCAATTCAAATCAATAATTTAGAAACAAAATTACGAGAAAGAATTGATAACGATTATGTTCCTATCAGCCCAGGTTTAAGGCAGTCGCTCTCTTTAGACTTGTAACAGGCCATGACTGTCTGGCCAAACACCTTTTAAGTATAAACATTTTTGACTGTCCTAAATGCAAGCTCTGTCGTCTTGGGGAGGACATGGACTGGCTCCATATTTCCGTCTGTCCTGCGCTCATATCCACTACTTTGTGTGGACGCTACTGGGAGGCTAGGGCCCGTATGGGCTAAGCATGTCACCATTCAATTCTATTTATCTCTTTTTGCCTTGTTTTTCTTGTTATTTTATCCTTTTTGTTCTTTTAAATTGGCCTGCCATTGGAAATAATAAAAAAAAATGTTCCTTTAATTATTCAAAAAGACATCACTAGGTTGAAAGAACAAGGTGCCATTTTGGGTGACATTAAAAAAAGAGATTTTATGAGAATATGTGGAAAAATCTTTAATATATTAGTAACCATTTTCCGAAAAATAATATTTGCGAAGATGATCTTTTTGATGAGGTGTCATTGGTAAAAAGATATGTTACAGATGAAAAAATTAAATGTTGGTTGTTTGCAAATGTGGAAACAGACAAAAAATGGACGGAGTTATTCCTTCATTTTAAACAATAATATTCCTTATCAAACTATTTTGAAAATTGTAGAATTCGCGCTCTCCCTTCCAGGAACAAATGCAGCAACAGAACCTGTTTTTTCTAGTATCAATAAACTATGGACAGCTGAAAAAGCGCAGTTGAACATTAAAACTGTAAAATCTATAGTAAGTGTAAAATATGATTTGACCAATTCATGTGAAATATTTCACGACTTTTTAATAAATGATCCGAATCTATTGCGAAGTATTCAGTCGGAACAAAAATATGACCGTGAAAGAAAATCATAATTTTTTAAAAATAAAAAATTTCATTTAATTAAAAATCATGATGTTCAAATTATTATTTTTTACAAATATTTTTATAGTTACCAATAATTAGTAATAAATATACTTTTGTACAAGTATATGAATGTATACAATAAAATATATATAACTAAATTGTGATTCTGATTTCATCCCATTTGTCCCACTTTGTCTCAATGAAAATGTGGTCACTTTAACATTAGTAGTCGTAAACACAAAATTGGGTCTGATGTTTCACAACAGTTATAAAAAATAAAAAAATTGCTTAAGTAATTATAAATAATGGTTTAAAAAATCTTCATTAGTTTAAGATTTATAGACCTATTTTTTACTTCGTTCTTGTATTATTTGCAATTTTGACTTGTGTATCGAAACTTTACTCGTAGCCTAAGAAATTGTTGCTAGTTAAATCTTCCTTATTTTATTTCTCCAATGTTAGCAGGTATGGTTGTGCATTCCTGCTTTGCATATATAGACTATATATAAGGCTTGAAATTAATGGTGGTTCTCTGAAACCTCATATGAAACTCATTTTTCATATGAGGTTTCATATGATTTGTCTCACACCTCCCTAAAATAATACTCAGTGGCATCCTGTCGCACTGCATAAATAATTTGATAAAGAATTTCTCATTTTTTTGCTGACTTTATCATTTAAAGCTTTTTTTCGCCTTCTGCTCAACGAGATTGATAATTAGGTTTTATCATTCCAAAACTATCAAGTAAATCAAAATTTTAATATTGTAGAAGTGGGTTAAACAGTTTAAAACATCAACATCATAGATTGTAGCTCTCCGTCTACGGCTTTATATATTTGTTAGGAATTAGCATATAGTTCTTGTTGACACTAATCATTTATAAGAGTCTTTGCGAATGTGCATTCTCGTTGCATCCGTTTAAGCCATTTGCATAAAAATTACCTTAATTGAAATTCAGCTGTACTTTCAAATTTGATTAGTGCAAAGTTTACGTGAGTTTGGTTGTATCAGGATGTACCTAAAGAAAATTTTAAATAAAACAAGAATATTTTTGAGAAAAACTATTTCTTTCAATATTTAAAAGAAACAGTAATAATGAGAACTTTTTACTAATTTTTGAGGCTCCACAGAAATTGTGGGCCCTTGCCTCGTGGGCCTAGACGATAATCAGGCACTGAGTTTGCAATGAAATGTCATTGCTTGTGAAATTTATAGAAATGAACTAAAAGAGAACAAAAATCAAGTTTAATAGGAAGGAAATAATTTCAAAATGATAGTGGCATCCAATAATCAGTGGGATCCTGACGCAACTTTCAATGTAAAGAGACTGTGTGCTTTTAGATTTTTATTTTCATTTTTATGTTATGTTAAATTCAAATAATTAAAAGTATCTCTTTTTCTGCAAATATGTTATTAAGTTTACCGATAAAAATATTCAGTGCTTAGAACAAATAATGTTAGAACAAATAGTGACTAAATATGTGTGCAACCCTTAGTTAATCTACCTGCTGTGGCCTTTCACTCAAAAAAATTGTGAACCCCTAAGTTACGCATTAGCAATATAACTAAACTACTGGCCCTTTGGACTAGTGATATCCTATGTCATTTTTGCGCCAATAGCCCATTGTGCAGCTCTAGTGCGACGTAAATTAACAACAACAACCTATCTCGTTTTGTTTTTGTATTTCATTAATTTTTATATTTATTTTTAGGTAATTAGCTTAGAATTAAAAGTATAATGGAAATCGCATCAGCTTTGTCTACCGGACTTGTGTCTCTTCCTGTCATAACAAGTATTGCTGGAGGGTTCTTTGTCATAGTGTTAGTTGCTATTATTTATAAGTTTAGCATTCAAGAAAAATCGTTTGAGGATGCTATTGAGGAGCAGAAGAGGCGTAAGCTCGAGGAAGAGCAGCAGCAGAAGCTGAAGAAAGCAAAAAAGGAAAAAGTTTTTAAACGTAGCTGGGCAAACAAGAAAAAAGAGAAAGCCGAAAGAGATACTACTCCGGATATAACTCCCGTAGAAGAGAAAAGAGAGATCCCGCAAATCGAGATAATCGAGCCCAAAGAGAGCAAACCTGTTAAGCAAAAAAACAAAAAGTCAAGTCCAGCTTCTAATCAGATTTCTAATTCAGTTGAGAAACAAGAGAATGCAGTCATTCCTGATAAGTCTGTTGTACAAGAGAAGAAGAAAGAAATTTCCGTTCCTGATAAAAAGAAAGAATCTCCTGCCGCTACTGAAAAGAAGGAATCTGTGAGTGAAAAGAAGAGAGAAAATAATCCTGTTCAGGAAAAGAAGAAAGATGTTCAAGAAAAGAAAAAAGAAGTGATCATTGTAGAAAAAAAGAAAGAAGAGAAAGAAGTTGAAAAGATAAAAACTGATGTCCTGAAAAGCAAAGAAAATGTATCTGCTACTCTTGCGAGTACTTCTAATAAAAAGAAAAAGAAGGAACAATCTGAAAAAAGTAAGTTAATTTTAAAGGCTAAAATTATTCCAAGATTTCTTACTTGAAGAAGTTTTTAAGTTAGTTTACGCAAATTCATTATTTTTATCCTCTTATATCTTCAGATATTGTTGTGTGCTTAAAGTTAATTAAATTTTGAAATTTTTTAAGTATTTTTATTGTTTTTTAAATAATTTTTAGAGATGTTATCCTATTCATGTTTATCTCTTGTTTATATATTTTTAGTCACTGGTGTAGAGGCGTTAACTGCTGGTAAACTGTTCTCTCTTATTAAAGAAGCTGCTCTGGATGCTGATGAAGTTCAAAATTTAATTGATATTTTGCTAAATAAACAAAAGGATTCTGCTAACTGGACCAAAGTAAATATATGTTATTTTTATTTATCTTTGTATTACTTTATCAAAGAAGCATAGTTCAAATAAAATGATAACTATGAAAGCTATCTGATACCCATGATGTGTCTTTAAATTCTATTTGTATCAAAACATGGCATATTAATTGCAAATTGTGCCTGATTATAGGTACATCTTTTAGCAGCTAAAATTCTTTAAGATACAATTGAGAAGACATTAAAATGATTAATAAATTTTTGTTTAGCAATGACTTTCTAAGAATGCAGGGCTGCAAAAAACCCACCTACCCAGAAAAACCCGGGCGGGTTTTACTGGGTAAAACTCACTCTGAAAAAACGAGTAAAACCAGAGTTTGAAAATATCCGTTTTTTTTTTTTTATTTTGAAAAAGTCCCCACCCCGCCTGGATTTTATTGAAAAAACACCGAGAAAATTGGGATTTTTCATTTAGTAAACATTAACTTTAAAGTTTTACTGTGTAAATAATTTTGTTTATTAAATAGTGTTGTATAAGCTTAAAAATAGAAATAAATCCAAACAATAATATATAATACATATAACAAAATTGAGATAAGTTTAAATAACACATTGCCACTAATACATATTTGAATCTTCTTTACTGTTAAAGACATAAGGTTTCACAATTTTTAACTCAAGCTTTATAAAGTATAAATTTATAACTATAAATGTAATATAAAAGTAACAAGTTTATTAATCTTTTTGTTTTCATTCACATTTATTTACTATATTTATTAAGCATTATAAATTTATAATCAGTAAAAGCTAAAATTTCATCTGACTTTTGCCTTTAAANTAACTCAAGAGTTATAAAATATAAATGCAGTAATATAAAAGTAACAAGTTTATTAATCTTTTTGTTTTCACACACATTTATTTACTATATTTATTAAGCATATGTATATTATCTATTATAAATTTATAATCAGTAAAAACTAAAATTTCATCTGACTTTTAACTTTAATAAAAATAAAACTGAAATAAATATTTAATTATCTTCCATATTTTTTTAATAAGATCAATAGAAAGTGAAATTAAAATGACGAATAATTATAATGAGTATCAGTTATTTGTCCCATTTTTTTTTAAATATTTAATGTGCAGAAAAAGGTTTCATTTTTAGATAAATAATTTTAACTTTATATTTTTAATTTCAAAAAACCAATTAATCTTTAAAATCATGAAAAAAGCATAGATAAAAAGTTTTAACTTATTTTTTTAAAATGAGAAAATAAAACTTTAAATTTGTTAATGTAATAAAAAGTAAAAAAAAAATTTTAAGCGGGTTTTTTCCTAGAAAAAACCCACGTTAAGATTTCAATAGTAATATAAAATTATAGATTAAAGTTTCTTATACTTTAAAAACATTAAAAACTTAATCTTATATAGCACACAACTCTATTTGAAAAATTTATGCTACACAATAAATTATATAAAATTAAATGTGCCTCAATACGTTTTAATGAAAACAGTTTTTTTTAAAAGAAACCCCCACTTAGTGTTCCAAATGTATTTTTTCATGGGTTTTTTCAAAGTGGGCCAACTTGGTGAACCCTGTGTAAAACCCACCCTAAAGTGGGTGTTACTGGCTTTTTCCAAAATTGATTTTTTTTTATACTTTGTTATATTAAAGAGCTGTTCTATTGAAATATATATGTAGTCTAGCCTAAAAAAAGGAACCTATTGTGAAAAAACTAACAACAATCAGAAGAGAAAAATTATAACCCAACCGGGTTTGGTTTTTCTGGGAAAACCCTGGTTTTTTGCTACCTTGTAAGAATGGCTTAAATTTTATTAGTATAATTCCTGAAAATTCAAAGTTTTTCACTTCTACTTTTTTTTAATAAAGAAAATATAATTACTTTTACTTTTTATTAAATTTAAGTAAAATTAAGTATTAAAATAATAAAATTTGATTATGTCTTTTAATATGAGTATAGTATAAAGTATAGTTTGAATATAATAAAACCTAATTATTATTAAATTAATATGAATATAATAAAACCTAATTATTATCTTTTAATTTAATAATAATTAGGTTTTACTAAACTCATTTACATTAAATATTCAAAGCTACAGGTATTTTTAGTTTTTCAGAAATTCTTTGAATTGTTCCTTCTTATTTTGAAGTAATTTAAAAATGATATATTAAATAAATAGCTTAAAAGTTAATACTATAATTTAAACTAGATTGCATTTATAAACAGTTTTAAAAATTGATTAAATACTTTATTTTTATACTTGAGAAGCGGGCATAAATAACACGAAAGCAAAAAATGATTACTCATTTAAAAACAATCTAAATTCTGTGAATTTGTTTGTAATTTAAATGGAAACTTGACTGAATTTTGGAGTTGACATTTGAATAAAGAATTCTATGCAGATCCTAACTTGCAAAATATGATATAGAATTAAAATATTTTACTTTTGTGTCGGATGTAATTCCTTAAAGTTGAATATAAATTGAAATTAACAATAACATTTTTAAATACTGAAAATTACTTTAATTTTTTTTTTAAAAATCTTAATACTATAAATTTTTTTTTCCCACTAAGGAGTTTCTTTAAATTTAAATTGTCTTCAATTTCCTGTTGAGATGGTAGATCAATGTGTTTTTTAACATTTTCCATATTATAAAAGTTAATTGAAAAATGACTAATTGTAATTGTGCTGCATATATTAACAGTGTTAATACAACTAACCCTAGCAACAATTTTACATTGGCCCCGCTTCGTCTCAAAATTGACTCAATATTAGTTCTATATGAGCATGTACGGAGGGAATGATATTAAGATGTCTAGATTTTTTAATATTGGTCCTATATAGGGCCACTATACGATCAATATAGGGCCTATATTGGATGAATAATGTAATGAAAATAAAATAGTGTTTGAATCTAACAACTCTATATAGGGCTGATATTGGTTGTAAAGTGGATGTAAAATTTACAGGTGAATCAAACAGTTCTATATAGGGCCAGTATCGGAAAATAACTATAAACTACATAATATAAGCTACATACTACTAATAACTATATCTACTAATATAAACTACACATTTTTCTCTTATTTTGATAATGAGTGAGTATTATGTTTTGAACTGTACACATTAAATATAAGTATGAGTGGATAATTCAAAAATTGTTGAGGATCAAATTTAGTTATAATTATTACATATTTGATAAATTTTTAGGGTGTTAGGCGAGTGCCCTTTCAAAACTCGAAGTGCTTTTTTCTGTGAGGAAGCACCCAGCCTTTTTTATTCTTATGGAGAACTCTGCTAATTGATAGATTTAAAGTTGTTTTTCAAAAAATTGAAATTGAGTTGCTTACCTCAGAATAATTATAGTAAAATAAATAACAAATAAGACTTAATTTAACAGTTTTAATTTAAATAACTTAATATACAACGTAGCTAAGCAACTTTTATTAGGTTACTGAGATGAAATACATTATTCAAAATTAACCTAAAAGAATATTTAAATGGTTTTTATTTATATTTCACTTCATTTTATAAAGAAAAAGCAAAAGGAAAACAATTGTGACAAAAGCAGTGGTGTTTGAAGTAAAAATAATTAATTTACAAATAAAATATTTATTATTTTCAAATTTGAAATAGACTACACAAATGCTTAGTTGCAAACTTGTACAGCCATTGGGGGAAATAATTTTCTTAGTGATAGCAACATTATCTTTTTGGCATTTTAAATCTTGAGGTTAAAAGTTTCAAATAATTTCAACCACAGCAAGTCAATAATTTAACAAAATTATGCAGATAAAATTTATTTGTCGGCTAATTATGCTTTTAGATGTCTTATTTTTATTATTTTAAACTTTTAATTAATTTTATTATATTTTTGTTCTGATGTAATTTTTTTTATTTTTTTAACAAATGTTAAAATGCATCAAATTATAAATCCTGAATCAGCTTTTTCTTATATTTTAAAAATCTAAACGTGTATTTATCTCAAATTTTGTTCTTGTGTTTACTAAGCAAACATAACTAGTCTGAATTTATTTTCAGAAAAATGACCAGCTAGCCAATACAAAAAAAGACCTCCAAGAGAAAGAACAGCAATTGGATCTTGAACATAGCCAAAAGCAAGCCGTTGTTCTTAAGTTGAAAGATGTCAGAGAAGAGTACAACCAGTTCAAAGCAAAAGCTACTGCTCACGAAAAAAGCTTGCAGGAAAAAATGACAAAGCATCAACAAGAGGTTCAAAATCTCAGTTCTCGTATAAAACAACTACAAGAGCAATTGGCTGCAGAAAAAGAAAAGAATAATCAGGTATTTTGCTTGTCCTTTAAGTTTATACTCTTAAAATTGGTATTCTAGTAATCATTCCTTATTTTCCATTTTTTTTCCTAAATAGGAAACAAATATTTGGATGAACATGATATTTGCTTATTATTCAGTATTTAACTATCTTATCTTTTCTTAGCAATTACTATTTTATGTGAGAAATTCTGTTATATATTTTTTAAGCAGAGTTGGGAAAATTTAGGACAGACTGGATTATTATGCGTTTTGAAACAGGGTTTAATCCGTCTTTGCCCAAAACCCCATTGTCCAAAACCCCATTGTCCAAAACTGTCTAAAACCCTTTTACTCATATTGTGTCATAATTTAAAAAAAAAATTGTGAAAAAAAATTTTTTGAACAAGAAACACAATGAAGACAATTTTTTGTTTTGTTACAAAGGTTAATTATTATTTTTAATATTGCATTATTTATCCATATGTGAAAACATAATTTATCAGTATTAAAAGCATATATTCATATTTAAGGGATAATGTATTCACTTTTGTTGTTCAATGAATTGTGGAGCTTCGAAAATTATAAATTTCTTCCTGTTATGTTATTTTCTTTTGATAAGTTTAAGCAAATTGTATAAAAAGTATCAAATATTTATTAATATATGTAGTTATGTGTTACACATATAAAATTTTTACCTTTTACCAATGTTCAAGTTTCTGGACACTTTAAGACAGTTCAGGACAATTTAAGATAGTTAAAGACAGTAAAACCCATGTGTCCTGTCCAAAACCAGTTTAGGACGTCCAAAACCCCAACCCTATTTTTAATAGTATAAAAGTAAAGACTTTATAGATGGCTCTGGGAATCATGCATGTCAACTTAGTTCAGAGAAGATTGGTCTTGTTATAATTTAGTTTTGTTTTAATTTATGGTTCATTTTAAGCTAACAATTAATATATTTTGACATTAGCACTGATCATGTAATAAAAATAAGGATATATAAGGGGCCGTTCAAAAAGTACGTACATCACGAAAGGGGGGGAGGGGTTTTACTATTTTGTACGATGGGGAGGGGGGGAGGTATTATTCAAACTACGTACATTATAACCATACACCAAATTTAAATTTGACCTTTTCCTACACACGTATTATGCATATGTTTGTTCTTTTATTTTTTTTTTCACACGGCGACCACTTGTTAGATTGAGTAAATCAGTTCTCAAAATAAGTTGTCTCGCAAAATAAAAAATTGCAAGCACCAAACTTTCCCCGATTGGTGGTATTTCTTCGTTGGGTGTTATTGTTTAAATAATTTAAATGAATAAATTATTTTAAATAAATATTTAATTTTATTAAAAACATAATTATTTTAGTTTTTATCAAAAAGGGGGGTAGACTAATAAAATGTACGTACTCGAAGGGGGGGGGAGTACGACCTTATGTACGGTAATGTACGAAGGGGGGGGGAGGGGTTTAAAATTTCTCCATTTTTGTGTACGTACTTTTTGAATGGCCCCTAATTAGATCGTATAGTAATCTGAACAACTAACTAGAGTAAAATTTGCGTTGCGAGTAAATTAAACAAAATTTATGAAAATGACTTAATATTCAAGTATATTGCTTTGTGATTTTACATTAGAAAATAATTGTTTCATGCTCTACGTTTAACATCAATTGCCATTCTCCGACATGCTCATGCAGACCTGCCACGCGCCCCGAGGTCAAATAATAATTTTAATCAATTTGGTCATGCTGTAATTTTGACTAGAATTAATTTTAATTTAAATTATTTTACCCAATCTCATAAAATAATGAATTATTTAGAGGGATTAAACACAATCTTTGAGGTTTATGGTACCAGGCTGCACATGTACTATCACTTTTTTTATAGTTTAAAAATAATGGTATAAAACATAGTCTATAATGAAAGACAAATTAGTATGTTAAGCAGAAATATATTAAAACAAAAATCTTGACTACATTTGAACTATTTACATAAACTCATCGTACTTAATCCAATAATTCGAACACATTATTTAGAACAATAAAAATTTGGTGCTGCACCTACTTAACTAAAAAGACAATATTAAAAATTTGACAGAATATTTTAGGAAAACACTTAGTATATTTTAACGAAGTTTGGCTGGGTTTTTTTGGGAGTAAAAAAGATTCATCACGCACATGCTGGGTAAATGAATGGTGTAATTATTAGTTAATGAACATAATTTAAGTTGACCTTATTCGGCTATATTATTTTACATATTAATTTCTTTAAAGTGCATCGCCAAGCTATAAAAAATTATTAAAATTTAAAATTCAATAAAAAAATTACTTATCAAATATTATAATTTGATCACATTTAATTTATATTCAATTAAATGAATGTATTAAATTTAAAATTTTTTTGTTTGTTAAAATTTTGTAGCATGTTTAACATTGTATATTCTGATTTTTTACTATTTCTTTTCAGAATGACAAACAAAGTGAGGAAAAAGACCTTACTCTGAAAAATAGTGAAGAAGAGAAAGCTAAGTTGCAACAGAAATTGAAAAAGCTGGAGACAGAGTAAGATAACCACAAAGTGTATCTGAATAACTTTTATACTCTTTCAGTTTATTTGAACAAAATGCCTCTCATTTTTATTAAGTTCATTTTTAATTTGCAGAAAATACAACATTTCTGAAAAAAATAAATTTAAAATCTTCCGAACAGTTTTTTAAAAAAAAAACATTCAGTTAGTAGCCCTCATTAACCGCTTCCTTGATTATCCAGAGTTCGTAAATTTGGCAAATCAAAAATCATAAATTTGCCGAATGAAATTGTGTTTGGCAAAAGTGTTGGAGATTATTTTTTTTTTCGCACTGTAAAAAAATTTAAATTGTGTCAAAATTGATTTTTCCAAACAAATCAATATTTTTTATTCAGTTACGGTAATTTTCGATAGATGCACTGCATAACTAATTAGAATTGGATCTAAATAATATAAGCCTGTAACAAACTACCGTGAAATAGTTTTCTATGGAAAAAAAAATAATCATAAAAATTGTTTATATTTGCATTTGGCGAAGAATTTCGAAAATTTGCGAATACTTTTGATGTTTGGCAAACTTATTTGCTAATAATTTGAAATTCTTAGCATGAGCCCTGGTTATGCTATACACTATACATTTGCAGTTACATTGTTTTGTTAAACTTATACTAATGCATGATGTTATCCTCTGAAATATAAGAACTTCGTGATTGGATTTCCATTTTAACCTCTTTCCTGATTTTCCCGAGTTAATTCGGATATGCATATATTGCAAATATTTATTATCCCAAGAAAACTAAGGCGTAGCAGAATTTGTAAGTTTGTTTTATCGCATTTTTGCTCTACTGGAAGCAAACAATACATAATCTGGTGTGTTTGGAAATTTGCCAAATTTTGTTTGGGAGTATTGCTGTTGGATTGTGGGACTGCACACTTAGTGTGATTGCATATACGGTGATCACTGAATTTACATAGGGAAAAAAAAAGAATAAACAAAAATGGCGTATCACTTCACTAGTGTTTGGAAATTATCACTTTTTTCATTTGCTCGAGATAACTTGGGATAGTAAACTGGTGGTAAATTGTATAAATTTTACACATAAAAAAAATTTCTAAATTGCACTTAAATCTTGTGTATTATGTTTTGCTTTAGTTCCTTGTATTTATTAATAAAATGAAAATTTTTTAATTTTTTGCATTAAAAAAAAATTGGTTAGAGAAGCAGTTAATAGCATATTGAGTATTATAATGTTTACAGTAATTTAATGGCATTCAATTGTCAGGAAAAATGACAGAAAGGATTTTTAATTCTTTAGATTTTCACTTTCATATTCTTCTGCTTTTAGGCTGTCAGTTTTATTTCATGTTATTAAGAAGACTTTTTAAAGGAGCTCAGACTGAATAATTAACTTTGAAAAAAGCAGATGAATTAAGAGCATCCTTAAATACCTACTTGCCTTTAAAATAGCTTTCTCCGAAATTATTTTGTCTATTATTTAGATTTATTTTAATGAAAAATCATACCTTTAATCACAAAAATAATTAACACTAGTTGATTCTTCTTTTTTCTTTCATCCTAATTTCTATGGAACTTGCTTATAAAAATAAAATTGAAATGTATATGATAATAGGGGTTTTGCCCCTATACATGGCAATATTCAGCTTTTAATTACAGAATTAAACTTTTATTCTAAAATCTATTAAGGCTTAAGTCAATTTCAGAATCAATCAAAAGTATACTATTTTACTAATAACATAAAAATATACATATAATTATGCTATGATTTGCATGACAAATTTTTTATGTTTCAATTGCAAAAACAGTCACTAATATTTATAGTTTGGTTGACTTATAAATAATCTTGTTATTTTGGAAATAGGTCGAATAGTGGGGCAGCATCTAAGAATGATTTTGAGGCCATGAAAAAGTCTAGAGAGGAACTACAGAAAGTACACAATCTTTTGATTGAGCAACATACTCAGCTTGTTAATTCTCACAAAAAGGATTTGTTGAGTGTTGAAAAGAAATTGTCTGCCTCTGAAAAGCAATTAGAAGAAATCAGTGCCAAAAAAGCTAATTTGGAAGATTCTCTGAAAACTGAACAGGTAAGGCTGTAACTATGGATTAACCATCAAATTTTGTGATGTAGCAATCACATCTTAAAATAATTAAAATTATTAATTATCCTTGGTAGTAACAGATTTACATAACTACAGATTTTTCATAGAATTGCATAGTGAAGCTATCATATACGAAAATAGCAGAATCTGCTGATTAACCATGGAGTTAAGTTTGGCTTCAATCAGTTCTTTGTCTGGCTGTTTTTGTCATGATGAGCAATGAATGTTAAAATTTAAATATGTTTTAGCGATTTTTATTTTTAGACTCTTTATTTATATTCATTGATAAATATTTGCTCTCATTTAGTGAACTTTTAACAAAATATTCAATTTGCACGCCGTGACAGTATCACGGCTACATTGTCGCAGAACTTAGAGTTCTTGCAAAAAGATTTTTCTTTTGGGAAGTAAAAAATATTAGTTTGCTTTTCAGCAGAAATTTTCACGCAAAATTTGAATTGATCGCACAGTTAAATAATCACTTTTTGAAGCGCTCAGTTTATGGCGATATCGTAAATTCATTTTGATTGCATTTTCGACAGTTATATTGACATTGATTTTCACATGGCTTTCAGATATCTGGATATATTTCAGGATATATGGAAAATTCGAATTGTGCATTTGATTATTTCCTTTAAGGCAATCATTTTATCGATTTTTTTTTTGGCAGTTATTGCATTTGATTTCTACAAGGTTTTTGAAATCAATCAATCAACAAACATATCTTGAAATGAAACGTTGCATTTGAGTAACACCTTTCTGAAGAGTTCAATTCATGTGATTTTGTCGTCGATCTGTTTTTCATTATTTATTGCTACAGATTTCCTGATGTTTAATTTTTTTGATGTGATATGATGATTTGCAAAATGCGATGAAGAAAACAAATTATGCACCCCTTCAACAAAATATCGCCCATAATATTAGAATAAAAAAAATATCAGATATTCAATTAAAAAAATTATATTATTTTTGTAAACACAGCTTTTTTGTTACCTTTAATTCGTAACTTACATCTTTGTTATTATTGAAAGTATCTTGCAGGAAGATATTAGTGCTATAAAGTTTTGTTGTAGAATTCTGCCCCTGGGAATTTACATTGAGTCAGTTATCCTATATTTGTATTAAGTCAGTTCTTTTACTTTAATTCACTGTAGTGATTGAAAAAAAGCTTTTCGACTTGTACAGACTTAATTTGCTTACAGTTTAAGAAATTTAAATTAACTATGAAATAACATTTTTAGTTATTTAAACAAATTGAAAGTTAGTGGACACTTTTATTGCACCTGGAAAAGTTTTCTCTGAAGAATTATTTTTATTTAAATTGAATGTTAAGAAATGAATCATTTAACTATATTTTTGGTTTAATATATAGTCAAACCCCGTTATAGTGAACTCCCAGATATAGTGAATGAAATGTTCACTCTCGTGCCTTGCTATACACATATAATGTTATTTTTTGTGGATATAGGGGAACCAAAAGAAAAGAGGAAATTGGATATTATGAACTTTTTTCTGTCTTCCACTGATTTCCATTCTTTGGTAATTTTGAAATTTCTACATAAAATACACCGATTTTTAAAATCTATTGCGTGGAATGTAGCCATAAGCATTTTTTCTTGTTTGCTTTTTCTGTTTCAGTTTCCCTTCCCTAAATAAAGGTCATCCTTAAATCTTTTGTACGTAAGACGAAGAGTCATAAAAATTAAAAGTTAACTAATTTTTTGTCACTACATATTGTTTTTTAATCATTTTTCTTATTATGGATCATTTATTTAAATAATGTGTAATAAAAAGGAGCAGCTCAGAAAAAATGAGTTAATTTTTTTTTTTTTTGCAGTACGAATATACTGAACTCTTGGTTGTAGTGAACAGAAATTTTGTTTCCTAGAACAGTGTTCCCCAACCCCTGGTCCGCTGATCAAATGATACCGGGCCGCCCATTTCATTGAAACTGAATTTAAATTCCTAGGTTTATACCCTGAATTAAAAATATTTGAGTTCCATTAATTTTTTAATGTTTTAAAAAGTAAAAAAGAAGGAAACCACAGCAACTATTTTCTCTTTCATTTAGTTTTAATTAAAATAAAAATCAATCATCCTAAATGTAAATATCATAAGTAAATCACGAAAGTGCGGCGTGAAATTGAAACTAATGAAGAACTTCGTCTTCTCTCTCGATCGTGACTAAGTGATTTAACGTTCTAGTAAGTTAAAATGTTAAATCACTTTATATTTATTTTTTGGTGTGACTGTATTTTATTTTGAAGGCATGTTTAAATACACTTAAACTAAAATTAATAAATCAAAATTATCTAAAATATAAACAATCAACGCCCCCGCCGGTGGGCCGTGATAAAATTATCAAACGTTGACAGGTCCGCGTTGATAAAAAGGTTGGGGAACGCTGTCCTATAGAGGGGTTAGACTGTATATGGAATATTTTTTTGACCATAATGCAGTTAGAATACTTCTGAGGGCTTCAGAAGTACTTCTAGGAGATTTTATGTTTATCTGAGAAATATAAATATGTGCTCTTGAGTGATGTGTTTTGCCAGGAATAAATATCACTAATGGGTTGGGGTTTTGCACGTCCTAAACTGGTTTTCGACAGGACACCCGAGTTTTACTCTCCTAAAGTGACTAAAACTGTCCTAAAGTGTCAAAAACCTTGAACATTGGTAAAAGGAAAAAATTCTTTATGTGTAACACATAATAATTACATAAATTAATGAATATTTGACACTTTTTATGTAATTTGCTTTAGCTTATTAAAAAGAAAATAATATAATAGGAAAAGATTTATAACTTTTGAAGCTCCACAATTCATTGAACAACGAGCGAAAACCTTAATCTTTAATTATGAATAAATAATTTTAATACTGATAAATTATGTTTTTGCATAAGGATAAACAATGCAAAATCAAAATAATAATAATGTTTTTGAATTAAACAAAGATTTGTCTTCATTTCGTTAATTGTTCAAAAATTAACCTTTTATTTTTCACAATAATTGTTTCAAATTGTGACATAATTTGAATAAAAGGGCTTTGGACAAAGGGGTTTTGAACTGGACAGTTTAAAGCCTGGTTTTTAAACCGCGAATTAATCCATTCTCTCCTAATCCTTGCCCACTTTGGTCACTAATAAACAGAAAGATTGGTGATGAGAAAACACGGAGAGAGCCCAGATAAACAGGTGCTTTTCCATGGTTAACTGATGCACTGTAGTTAAAGTAGTTAATAGTAAGTAGTTAAAGCAGAATTTTATAACATGTTGATGAGGTTATTTTAATATTTTTTATTACAGTTGTGTTATTGTCATGGTTGTCTAATTTATGTTAATTTTTTTTTTAAACATTTATTCAACTTTTAAGAAATGTTCATTTTTCTATCGTTTAGAAACGATGTGCTGATCTTGATGCTCAAGTGAAGAAGGTGAATCAACTACAGACAGAATTGAATAACTTGCAAGCTGAGAATGAAAGACTTACAGAGCAACTTGTTTCAACCAAAGAAAGGGTTGCCGGAGATGGGCAGGAAATTGTTCACCAAAATGGAGAAATGAATGGAAAGGTTCTACTCATATTTCTCACATTTAAAATTTTGCATAATTTTAATCTAAAATTAATGTAGAAGTGGCGGGATTTTTTAACATCGTGCGTAGCGTTTTTGAAAAGTTCTTATTTTCATTAGATGTTTTTAAAAAGTGCTTAATTTTTTCTTTTCGAAGATGAGATTTTTTCACTTTACCATGTCCATTTTTGCCACGAATTATACAAATACCTACTTTTCACAATGTTCTATTCAGTGTTTTCACAATTCATTCAACCACAATCTATTTTGGCACACCGTTGGTCCATTGCGTATGAAAGCGCCTATCATTTTACATGTTAGATTAAATACTTGCGAGTCCGCATGTGCGTCAACTGAGCTGTGTTCGGTGAGATTTTTGCACTCTCATGTGTGCAACTCTGCTGCATTTTGCAAGATATTCTAAATTTCTGGCTTCATTTCTCCCTCCCCCTCCTCTGAAATTAAATTGAAGAATCTCACTCTTTTTATGGTGGTTAAAATAATCAAGAAAAGAGTTCTTTGTCAGAAACTAGTTCTTTTATCATGATCAAGTAAATTCTTTGAAAATTATTTTGCATTTTGTTATTGTATATAGTGCATAAAAATATATTTTTTAGTGTTTAAAAAGTATTTAAAAGGTTCTTTATTTTTGCTTAAATATTTGGCTACACAACCTGTTCTAGTTCTATTAAAATCAGTACCTTGTAATTAATTTGCCTTCGTGACTTCCATTTCTGTTAGAAGGAAGTCTGTTATTTTTTGCTAGGAAAATTTAATTTTGTTGTGCCTATGGAATCTGAAGAATGCCTCACGAAGTTTGCCAAAGAATATTTATCAATGGAAGCAGTTAATATTTTAGAATGAAATGTTGCAGGTACAAGTACATACTTGCCAACTTTTAATCCTATCGAAGATGAATTTCCCCTGTGGTATTAACCCAATAACGATCGGTTAATTTTCAAGAAAACGGTCATAAAAGTGCCTATTTTTTTGGCTTTTGCATTTGTATTATGTATTTGATTAGTGGTGCAACTAGTTTAAAGTAAACTAATTATCTACAATTACCTTGAAAATATCCTGGTACTGCCACTGGTGTGCAAAATAAGAAATAAAATGTTTTCCGGGCAAAAGAAATGAATTAGTTTTATTCTTATTAGCGCGTTATTACTGAACATTCTAGCCCGTCATTTTTACAGGAGCGAGAAGGAAGGGTTTAAAGTGGAATTTAAATTATAATTTTAGGCAGAAGCTGTATGCTGTATTACATATTAATATATATTCCTAATTTTTTTAAAATTAGTGGTGGTCAAAAAGATTATATAAATTAAATTTATAAATGCAAGGATAATAGAAAGCATATACTTTACTACCACTTTAAATATAGAAATTAAATTTTACGCCAAATGCTTAAAAGTTGGTAGGTATGCAAATAGTTTATTAAAAGAAAGAAGATAAAGAGTATTGTTATCTGGTGCAGTAGTGCTTTTGAATAGAGATAACTTTATACTTATTTTTCTGAAAGGCATTTATCAAATGGTCATATTAAAATTGAAAATTATATTGCACAAACTATTATAAAAAACTTTAGCAATTTAATGGATAAGATAAATAAAAAAAAGTAGTAGCTCAAATTTGAAATGCACATGACATAATAAAGTATTTAATATGTCAAAATTTAAAAAAAATAAATAAGTATATTATCTCTGCAAAATGATTGGTAAAGTAGATTTAGAAAACAATCGACTCCAATATACTGTTTCTAATTTTATCTGGCTGAGAAGATTTATTGAATCTAGGTTTCTTTCTAGAAAAACAAAGTTCTTAATCTACAAAACTCTTGTCAGGTCAGTCTTGACATACGCTTCTGAAGCTTGGACAATGACAAAACTGGAGGAAAATTCTATTGCACTATTTGAGAGAAGGATTTTGCAGAGTATACTTGGTGGTGTAAATGAAAACAATAATTGGAGGAGATTTTACTTTTAACTGTACAAGATTTATGAGCAACCCGATACTATTAAATACATAAAAATAAGTAGAATGAATTGGATGGCAAACATGATTCAAATGAGTGATGACAATATAATAAAAAAGATGCTGCTTTTTTTAACCCATTGGAACAAGTAAGTGGGGAAGACCACTATTGAGATGGGCTGACTCTTGGGAGTCTGATTTTCTTGTAATTGATTAAAAGAATTGAAGATCAATGATAAAATGGAAGTCATTATGAAGAAATTTTCAGAGGAAGGCATTGGCCCACATTGGGCTGTCTGGCCAACTATGATGATGAATTTTATCTGGGTGTGTGATTAATTGGGTTCAAAGAGCATGCAGGGTGGAAATTTAAGCTAGACAGCCAGCCATGCAAACCTTGCTAATAGTTGTTTCTTAACTCTTAATTGATTTATTTACTTCTTTAATGTTGATAATTCAATAATGCTCATTCTTTGGTAATTAAATGTGATTGTGTTACGGAAGAATATTTATTTTTACTACAAAATATTTAATTAATAATTTTGATATTTTCATGTATATATTCTGTATTTCTGAACTAGATAAATATAATTTCTATCCAAATATTTTATTTTTAAGTTAGAGCACAGAATTAAAATGTAATACAATGTTTGAATTTTGTTTTATTTTTCTAATTTAAATTTTTTTCTTCTTCAAGGTTCAAAGCGAGGAAACAATTAAATCATTAGATGAGAAAGAAAAATTGTAAGTCTTGCAACTTTTCAACAATTTAATGTAAATTTGATACACAATTTTATTTTACAATTCTCTCTTTCTTTCTTTTCTAGGCTCAAAGAAAAAGAATCTTCATTAGCTGAAGTGAATGAAGAGTGTACTAATTTAAAGACTAAGATTTCTAACTTAAAGCAAGAATTAGAGGAACAAACAAAGAAAAATAATGTAAGTAATACCTCATTTATAACCACATTTTGTTTAATGAATTCTCAAATTTTAACTGAAGCTAGAGGAAAACACTAGTTTTAATGACAAGCATTTTTTTGGTTATTACCATGGGTGCAAGTCTTCCGTCACCAGGACGGATTTCCGTCCTTCGAAAATGTCCGCGGTCGGAAGTAAGACGGAAACAAGACTGACTCGAAGACGGAAATCGGAATTTTTTTTTTCTGTCCTTAAAAATATTTTTTAGGTCTACGTTATTGGTCTACTTTCTTATGTCCTGTTGTTATTTTATCAAAAGACAGATGAATAAATATTTTTTGTACAGTATTTAAACTTGATGTATTATGGTAAAGCTTTCTTAGATAGTTTGCATATGTCGAGGGGGTATTGTGTATGTTAGGTATTTCAGTCAAAACATTTTCAGTCTTGGCCTTTTTTCCAACTTGCACCCATGGTTATTACAAACATGAGGAGATCATTGCAGTCTTGTTACCTAAGTAAGATCAAACAAAATTTGTACCTCATCTTAGAGTGATTAAATCCAACTGGAGCTTTGTGTAGTTGCAAATTCAAGTTTCAATAATAATTTCCTGTCAATTTATCTATGTTTAAAATCCTTTTTTTCGGCTCCTCTCCGACTAAATGAATAACTTTTAAGTACTTGATTTTGAAATGGACTAAAAGGGAGAATACTTTTATTTTTTTATTAGATCCCAATCAAAAATGTTACCAAAATTTTATTATATTGATCTTTATTTTTTAGAAATGTCTCTTGTCTTTGGTAACTTTGTAGTCTTGAAAAGGTCCCATATGAACTAGTTTTTAGTGCTTAATATGTATACTATTAAGGTTGTTTTGATTCTTAATTAGTTAAATAAAAATTTGTAATTTTCCCAAAAGTAAAGCTATTGTCAGTTTTAAACATGCTTAGCAGTTGTGTAATTAAATGAATAATCCAAAGAAACTAAATTAGCAAAATGTATCTTAATTATATTTAAAAACTAAAACTGCGTGTTAAGCAATTATGATGGTGGTAAAAGTAGACATGTTTTGATTCATGATGTAATTCTCACCCCAACAAACTAGATGCTACACAGCAAGAATTTTTGAACAAAATTCTTTAAATCTGTTTGAAATTTTCCATAATTTATCCTAACTGCATATAATACCTATATTTTATTTTTAAACTTAAATGAAAATTGCACCTCATTTTGTTTAATGTACATGTTTTTTTTATTGGTACAGTTGCATGTAAATTTGAAAATAATTATTTCTTACTTATGGGGATTTTTTCATATTTGTAAGGACATTTTAGTGATTTTTTAAGTCATCCAAATCTGGGCTCTAATTATTGTGTAGAAAATCTGAATATAGCCATGAAAGTTTTATAGAATCTTTTTTCTTGAAAAAGTTGCATCTGGCTTAAAAACTAAAAGAAATAAGTTGCAGATGTCAATTTGATGAATTATTTTTCAAATCGAATGATTTTCTTTATCTAGGTCAATTGTTGCAAGATGGCTAAGTATAAGGGGGGAAAAATAGAAAATTTCAATTGGAGATTGGCAATTCATTTTCTTTGTAAAAAAAATCTAGTGATGGGTGCAAAATTTATGTTATAAATTCTGTGTAAAGAAACCTAAATGAATCATAACTGTTTTAAAATGGTGCATGGATCAATGCATATAAATATTTTTATTTTATTCTGTGTATGTATTCTACTTTTTGTGATTTTATTTTTAAAGGGCAATTTTCTAATTGTAGGAGCTGAGAGAGAAAAATTGGAAAGCCATGGATGCTTTGAAAAGTGCTGAGCAAAGTGCTGAGCAAAAAATGAAAGAACTTGAAAAGTCACATGAGAAAACTTTGTGTGATTTAAAGAGATCTAGTGATCAATCAAATATTTCTACAGAGCTTAATGAAAGACTGCAAAAAGTTCAGTCTGATTACAATAGTGAGATAGAAAAGAATAAAAAATTAGCAGCAGAAGTAGACAGGCTGGCTTCTCAGCAGAGTAGATTAACTGAATCAGATAAAACTGTTCAGGTGAGTTTCCCCCCTCCCCCTTCACTTCTTAAAGTGAGACTAAGTGTTAGCACCAAATGTTTGTGGTTTGTTTATTTTTATAACAAGGCAGGTGTGATTATATTCCGGAGGGTACCCCGGAAATCCCAGTTTTTCGTATCATTCTTTCAGGTAAAAAACTAGGAGCTGCGATTTTTGCTTAAATGTCACAAAATTCTGCGTAAATCAAGACCACTGGATGCGGACTTCCGCGAATCAAAAACTTATAATCCAACAAAATTTTGAAGCTTTTTCTAAATCTTGTTAGCGAGACGTTTATGTACATTCTTTTACTAATTGCGTGGAGAATTACGTTTTACATGATTCTTTCTACAATTTGATTCTTTTGGTTTTGCGGATTTTCGCCTTTTTATATATTTGAAACCGCACCGGAGTCTGCTAATATTTGGATTCTTATTCACGCGATTTTAATGTCAAACATTGATTTCGTATTTACCCGATTTAATAGTTACGCATTGCGATTCGTATTCATGTGATTTTAAAATCCAATATCAAGATTTACATTTATGCATTTTTAAAATTCAGTATTGCAATTCGTATTCACAGGATTTAATAATTATTCACTGTGATTCGTATTTGTGAGATTTTAAAATCCAATATCGTGATTCATATTCACGCAATTGTAAAATCCTATATTGTGATTCTTGTAAAAAGTACGCTTTTTCTTAAATTAGTTACTCTAAAGGTGTGATATTCTGCACTAGTAAGTAATTTAATTATAAATGTTAGTTAAAAAAGTTAGGTTAAATGTGAAACAATGGTAAATAAATAGATTTTGATTTTTTGCACATAAAGTTTTCAGGGTTTTTTACTTTGTCCCACAATCATACCTGACAAGGGCTAAAATTAAATGCTTATGTCAAAAAATAAAATACAGTATTTTCTAAATTTCTTAAAAATGATAATGTAACAGAAACAAATTACATGTTCGAAAGTTTTAAATTTGAAATAAAAATTGAATTCCAAACAATGGAAGAATAATTCTTTATAGAGTTTCAATGGTCAAAAAAAAGTATTGTGAACAAAAATAAAAGACAAAGCATTCTTAAAGAGTATTCCACTTGAAAGTTTTATAAAATAATTCTTTTTTGTTCATGCAAACCAGTTACATCTTTTATTTAAATTTAATTCTAAAATTAGATTACTAGTGTCAGTTTCTTTTGTATCTGCAAGATTTGGTTTATTTTAGAGGTAGGACTCGATGCAGGACTTTGCTTTATGGATGGACCACTGTAATCATTCAGTACCTTTAAAATTTAGAATTTTTGCAGTTTGCTCTGATGTGTCTAATTAACTTTTTTAAAATTACATTATATATTTTCATAAACTTTATGTATGGTTGTGCAAAGTGTGGAGAGTTGCATAAGAAAGTCTACTTGATAGCAGAATGTTTGCATAAATTTTATTTTTCTGCAATGTCTATTTACTATATGTAAATGTTTTTAACAATAAATTTCTAGATAAATGTTTTTTTAAGAGATACGTGTCTTTCGTTACCAGATAAATCTTGTTTCATGTTTTTTTTTTTTCATTTGCATTTTCTTTTTCTATTCTAAGAATCCTTTTAGTTGCTTATCCTTCGCTATTCTATGTAATTAAGTTAAATTCCTACTGTAATATTTTAAAAATTATAATGAAAAGAAGAAAGAAATGGAGAGATTATTTTTTAGAATAAATTTTTTTTTTAATTTGTTTCAGTTGTTTTCTAGACCTTAAAAATTTTTTACAAATATTTATCAAATTGTAATTTGAAGAAATAAATTAAAAGGTGTGTTTTCTGATTTTTTTTTATTGTTTTAGTTTTCTAAATCACTGAAGAATTAACAAATCATTATCAAACAATTTTTAAAATATTTATGATGATTTATGGGACATTAAGTATATAAGAGTTCATAGTTTTCTTGATATTTGATTTTTCCTGATACAAAATAATTTGACCTTATTTGTCCTTATGTTCCTGATTTTTGTGTCAAGAAAATCTTAGTTCATATGAACACTAGTAGGGGTTGTAAAACAATGGGTTTTTTTCGACATATTTTTTACTTTTAGTATTGCTAGTAAAAATTGCATAAGTTCAAGTTATCACAGTAATTCAAATTAATTGCGTTTCTATTTAAATTTTGTTATGTTGTAGATTTTTCTTTCTGAAAATTTATTTGTCACATGCATCTTTTTACTGTAGAAATCTATTATGTAATTAAACTATTATGCAATAAAAGTATTAATTAGTTGTCAGTAGGAAAGTGAATGAATAAAAAAAAAAACTTTCATAAAATGTGTACCAAATAATCATCACATGTATTTTCTTTTATTAGTTTTTTTTTTTTTTTTTTTTTTTTTTTTTTTTTTGCTACATCTTTTTAAACTGTTCTTTTCCTTCTATCTATATTATTGTTTCTTTGATTTAAAATTGTTTCTTTATTGATTCAAGCTGATCACATTCTTTTAATATTTTGATAAGGTTATAGTTTATTTATTTGTATTTTTTTTTTTTTTTTTAGATTTTAATATGTTAAGGAATTGCATTAATGTGTCATGCATGGTGCATTATGCAATGCCTGCTGATTATGTTTTGCACAATCTCGCTAAAGCCTTAGATATGCTTATAATTTTAGTTTATCCATTTATCTTAAGAAATGAATAAACAATAGAGAAAATAAAGTAACTTATTCAACAACTCTATGATATGAGGAACTCTGATATGATATGAGAGATGTTACTAAGTATGTATATATATTTAGTAACATCTCTCCTATAACAAATTTCTTGGTTTTTTTAATAACTATTTTATATGTAAAATCAAAAATTGTATTTTTTAAGTTCTTTGTAATAATAATAAAAGTTTTTCAAAATTTTAATATAGGTTGTATATGTAGCATCAGTAAGAAGACCTTTTCCCCTATTTTCTACTTTATATGCAGTTTCTAATGCACTTTTCCTGTTAATTTGAAAAATTTTTTAAAAATAAATTTAAATAAATAGTCCTATTATTGCCTATGGAAGTAATAATAGGATTATATTAAAAAAAGGAGACTTTCACAATAAAAATGTTTTATGCCTTTTCTATTTAATGTCCGGCTCATTTTATATATTTATTCTGCTTAACACATTGATTATTTCTATATTTTTTTCTCATATCTATAATAATATTGAGTATTTAAAATATCCCACATAATTTTTTTAGAAGTATATTAAATATTTATCAATGAAAAAAGTTTAAAAATAAGAAAACCTATCAAATGGCAGTCTATGAAATTGCTCTATAAAACTTTTTTCCCCCCATAGGATCTTACTTCTCAAATTCAAACCTGTCAAGCAAGAACTAGAGAATGCTTATTAAGGATACACCCTAGTGTAACAATAGATAGTTCTTTGGTGAGAAAAATTTAGATTATTTATTTAATTAATTAATTTTGCAAAATATATTGTATTTTTATCTATCTCGAGAAAAATGATTTAATTAGTTACCACTTCTCAATAAATAATATCTTGATTTAGCAGTTTAATTAATTTTTGATTCAAATAAAATTTTTTAATGTTTTGTAAATCAAATGTAAGGGTACAGTGAATAAGTTATAAGGGGGTCTCATTTGAACTAAAAACGGAAAATAAATTGTTCTGTATTGTGTTATATTTGATTTAAATTCATATTGTGGAAAAAAGCAAAGAAGTGGTAGGGAATTCTTTAAAATGATTGTATTGAATTGCTTATTTTATTTGTATTTATATGAGCATAAAACAGTATTTCCCAGCTGATGGTATTTCAAACCTCATGTATGGAACTCAGAGAATACTCGACCTGTATTCTAAGCATTTAAATAATAATATGAATTAAAATCAAACTATTGTTATTTTGGGAAAAACCTTAACCATTCATTTAACCAGTTATCTATTCTTGTATATATTTATATATACCCAGTGTCAGAAACCCTCTAACATTGCATTAGGCCTTGCACATTATTTTTCCTGAAATTTTTATTTTTAAAAAGCAAACAAACAGGATAGGACAATTGCTGGGACGCCATTTTAAAGACTTGTTTGTGATAAAAATTAAAAAGTCTAATTGCGAAAAACACTGCAAAGATCGAAAAATGAAAGACTTTTTTTCTCTGCTGCGGTTTAACTCATTCTTTAGTATCATTGGGGAAAGTTCAACTTACATAAAATATCTGAACTTAAAATAAATAAATAAATATATATATATATATATGAAACTTAAAATATATATTTGCTACATGTATTGCTGAATTTACATGTGCAGACAAATATGGATTTTCATTCCTTAAATTCTGCTGTCGGGTATTCTGTAATGACAAGGTGCGTAGCATTTTTAAAAAGTGCTAGGAGGTGCTTATTTTTGTTTTTTAAAAGCCATTAATGGTGCTTTTTTCATTGGGTACTTTTAAAGTGTTTAATTTTCCCTTTTTCAAAATTAGTTTTTTTTCCGTTACTATGTTGATTTTCCTTTCAAATTATGCAAAAAGACGCAGTTCACATTGTTCTATTCAATGTTTTCACAATTAATTCAACTCCAATCTATTTCGGCGTATTGTCAGTTCGTAGCGTATTAAAACTCCATTTGTTTTACATGATTCAAAATTTCATGATTTTTGACAATTGTCAAAAACAATGCCAAAAGTTTTTATTATTATTATTTTTTTTTGACATGATAGTTAAAACAAGAAAACCGCCAATTGTCAAAAACTTTTCAACTCTGCCTAATTATGATATTTTTTTAAAGTGCTTAAAAATATTTTTTGAGTTCTTGAAAAGTGCTTAAAAGGTGCTTATTTTTTGTTGAATAATTTGGCTACACACCCTGAATGAGATAAAAGAGTGATATATCTCTAGTGAAGAATGTAACCTTTAATAAGTGTCTTCTTTATAGCCTTATGATGCTTGGTTATTAGAATATCAGAAGCAAGCTGGTACTCTTGTAGGGCAAGCTGCAAACCCTTCCTCTGATGAAGAACTTTCTAGGTTACAGCGTCTTTTAGAAGAAAAAAATAAAGAGCTTTTAGATAAAGAAACTCAAATAAAAGATGTTATGGTAAACACTTAATTTTTTTTTAAATTCTTTTCTTTTTCATGTCCTTAAAATATTGCCAAGTCTCCTGTTTTTTAATGAAGACTCTTGTATTTTACGTCTATCTCCTGTTTGCCCGTATATTCTCGAATTTCTTATTAAATTTTTAAAAAAAATACAAATTTTTTTTGGCGATAAAATATTTGATGACAAAAAGTACTTCTTATTCCTCAACGTATGGTGCAATTATGAGTTCTGCAGTATGTTGAGTGGTGGCTCAGGGGAAAAAGTGTTTGTCTTCCAATGAGGTAAACCAGTTTGAATCCCAGAGATGGTTGGTCGATATGAATTCTCCGATCACAGTGCAGACATAAAATATCCTCAGTGGTAGACAGATCATTTTTCTTCAGATCAGACTTCTTCCTCTCCATGTAACGCAAATGCGGGTTAGTTCCATCAAGAAATCTTCCAAGAAGGCAAATTTCTCCCAATACTTGATCCAGGAGTTCCCTTGTCTTCTGGTTTGGGTTCAAAATGACAAGACTACAGAGTTGAATATTAGTAATCGTAAACTTGAAATTGGGTCAGCTGTTCAATGACAGTTATAAAATAAAATACTTTAAGTACTTATAAATAATGGTTTAAAAAAAATCTTCTTTAGATTAAGATTTATATACATATTTTTTACTTCACACTAAATGTAAGTGCAATGAGAATTATTTCCAATTTTGAACTTTTTTTTTTAATGATGTATCAAAACTTTACTCGTAGCCTAAAAAATTTCTCAAGTTAAATCTCCGGTGTTTTATTTCTCCAATGTTGGCAGGTATGTATATCTTCTAAATTCGAACATATCACTTAACAAGTTTTTTTTAATTGACTTCTAATCTGAAATTTTGGTTACTACTTGACATATAATGAGATTTGTATTTCCACCTAATGAAAGATTAATAAAGATTGTATTTCTTACCTTGTGGAAGAATGCTTTTCAATCAAGTCGATTCTTCTGGGAAGAAAATGTTCTTCCATAGATCTTCAATTAATATCCCAGATAATGGGTAAATCCAGAGCAAAAATTTTTTAAAATGTTTTTTTGTAATTTTATAACAGTCGTTAAACAGCCCACCCTATTTTTTTGGTTTGTGACTGCTAATGTTTAACTCCGTAGCCTTGTCATTTTGAACCAATCCAGAAGACTAGGAAACTCCTGGATCAGTACCCCCACAGGTATTGATTTGTTCTGGGAACATGGAGGACTTTGGGACTCAACAGATTTAATGTCCACCAGTCACCATTTACTAAACGGGGAGTCTTCGGCCAGCAGGGATCGAACCCACAACCACTTGGACATGTGTCCTTGGAGAAATTTACTTTGGTTGAAGACTTTTTGATGGAACTAACCCACATATGCGTTGCATGGAGAGGAAAACCTCCCATGGTTAGCTTGACTCAAGGGGACTCTCACCCATTATCCATTTTTGCTGAAGATATTTTAAGCCAGCACTGTGGTCAGTGTCCGCTGAATCAAAAATTTTCATGGACCAGCCATCGCTCAGATTCTAACCCAGTTCACCTCATTGGAGGGCAAACGCTCTATCCCTGGAGCCATCGCGACTATCGCCAGTGTTATTTTATTTTATATCAGTCTTTGAACAGCCGACCCAATTTTGGATTTACGACTACTAATGTTCAACTCCGTAGCCTTGTTATTTTGAACCAATCCAGAAGACTGGGAAACTCCTGGATCAGTACCTCCAGAGGTATATGGGAACATGGAGGACTTTGCGACTCAACAGTTAATGATGGTCTATTTTTATTTCCACCATTTTTTAGATAAGCCTGAACCTAAAATCTGCTTAAATGAACATATTTTATAGTAATATTTTGTAGTAAAGTTCAAAATTTTTTTTTTAAAATTTAAAAGTTTATATTTTTTTTAATTATATTAAATTGAAAACTATTTATGCCAGTAACAGAAATAAGAATTTAAATTATTAAAAATATTTTCATAAAAAACTGTTTTCAATACCATACAAATTTTTAAAAAAAATTTAAGATTAACTGAAAAATAACGTACAAAATTCAATGAAGCATCTTATTACCATTTATGCTTTTGATTATAGTAAGCATATTGTTGAAATAAAATAGTGATATTTTGTTGTGTGGAGTTCAGTTTAGTTGAAATGTAAGTGGTGTTCCTGAATTTATGGTAGTTCAATTAGTCATAAAAATTTTTATTGCTTGTTAAAACTGTGAGTTTTCCAAAAGACAGTTCTCGTTCACCAAAAGGATGACCTTCCACACCTGCTGACCACTCTTACAATAGAACATTGCGTGAGAAAAACAGATTTATGTTCTTTTTGGGAGTATACCAAGAATTAGAGAAAGGCATCTTTATCCCTCTCCCCACTAATGAATTCCTGTTGGACAACTCAGAGGCCCCTATTGAACTTTTCTGCTCTGGAAGATAGTGGAAGTAACTGCAAACTTTCAAAGACAAGTGCAACAAGGGGGCATGATGGCTATTTTTCCTTTCCCATATAAATCTATATATTGACAGCAATGACAAACTAAATAAAAAGAATTGAAAATAACAAGAGCTTAAGAAAACCATTGTAGAGCTTAGGGAAAAAATAAAGAAAGGTTGAGGAAAGAAAGGGCAAAAAGGGTATGGAGTCGATTACATCAGGGCACTAACTTACTTCAGGGGGCAACAGGGTGGATCCTTTTGGATAAAAGGGCAACAGGATGCTGCACCCTGTTTACCCTGCCTAGAATGAGCTCTGTATAATGTAACATTAAATAATCAAAATTTTAAAAAACATGTAAAAAATTCATATTAATAACTAACATAAGTGCGATTTATAGATCCATGTGGGTTTACGTTAAATGATAATTAATCTAGTGCATAAAAAAGTGATTATTCAAATGCAAGGTTGAAAATTCATTAAACAAATTAATAATCTTATTAAATTATTGAGATTTTAAAAACCATTTGAAAAATGACTACCAAAATAATGATTGACAAAACCATGTGAATTTATGGTAGAATCTTTGCTAAATATGTCAGAAAAAGTAGTGCTTGCTTAAATGCATGATTAAATAAAATTTATTTCAAATCAGTTCAAATTTCTTGTTAAATGAATTTTTGTTTCCTGCATTGTTGATTCTCACAGAATTTTTCACCTCTGTAAGAATCTCTGTGAAGATCATAAATTTTAAATTCCAAATTTTTTAATCTTTTTTTTTTTTGAAATTTTGTGTTCTTAACATTTAGGTTTAACGAGTTTAAAAGAAATTGTTTCCCTTCAGTACTCTGAGGAAAGTCAAAGTAGATCAGTAACTTATGCTTGTTGCAGGACATGGTTAAAAAAATATTTATCTGAAATATTATATCTGAAATATTAAAAGAAAGAATTGTAACAGAAAAAATCTTTCATTAGATTTAATGAAAATTCAGAGGGGGATTTAAGAAGCTTTGTGGATCACTTTTGGCCCCTCAGGCATAGGTTGCCTGTTTTGCATTAAAGCCTAATTACTTATGATACTATTTATTACATTAACAGGTTTCTATTTTTGGAAACATTATAATGTTGCCCATAATGTTTCAGTATGAAGTTTAAAAAAAATGTATATAATTTTTAACAAAAAGCTGTTTTTGAGTTCAGAAAATGGGCATGTAATTTTACACCAGTATTTTTAAGTTGTGCAAGTATTTTCTTGAAGTATCTTTATTGGGTTGCATGTATTTTGAAAATGATGAATATTTTTTTCTTTCTTCTAGATGTCTACCCTCCAAAATCTGCAAGAAAGTGCAGAAGCTAATGAATCGAAATGGCGAGAGAGTATGCAGCAAAAAGACAATGAGTTACAAAAAGTTAGTTTAATTTTTTTAAAAGCATTTGTTACATAAGAAAAACCATTTGAATGAAAAACTTTGTTATTATTAAAGAAGTGGGACTATTATTTATATGAGATGTATTTAATTAATCTTTTCTATTTATACCATTTTAATGCTACAACAGTGCAGAAATATCATAAGATAAATTTAAATCATTACTATTCATTTATTATTTTAAGATGTTGCAATTATTATGATTTGCAACCTACACATGTATAATTTGTAATTTAAGAGATCTTTTATTCTCATATCTTAATTAGGCATGTGTCCTTGAGACCTTGATTAAACAATTGCAATGAAGACATTGCTAATTAGTGTATAGCTACAGTAAAGCTATTGAATAAAACTTAGTTTTAAAATTTATAAAGTAATCCTCGTAAATTTATAATTAAAAAGAGCTCAGATCATGGTGTCTTAATTCACTGTGCATCCTCTCATTGACTTTCAGACTTTTTTCAGGTGGAGGTTTTCTTGCACTGCAAAATTGGTATTTGAATGGGAAAGTTCGACATTCGGAGAGTTAATAAGCTCAAATCATTGTGCCTTAAACAGTCTAAGCTCAAAGTGCTTTAAAAAGGGTTCTTAACATTTATTTTTAATTTAGAATGAAAATGTTGAATCAACCACTTCATTTTTTCTCTTATTTCCCTCCTCTTTAACTGTTTTTAGCTTATCTAATTTTTTTTTTAATCTTACAGACACCTATTAAAATTTAAAAAATTGTTAATATTTTTTATTGAAGATACAATAGTGAAAAGCTAAATTTTTAACCTAACTAAGCTTTTCGATCTGAAATGTCAGGTCTTAATTTCATTCAAAGTCAAATAAGGTTGGTTACAAAACAGGGATAGCAAGGAGAACAGGGAAAGTTCAAGTAATTTTCTCGATCTGGGAAAGTTAGGGAATTTAATTTCAATACCCAAACAGTCAGGGAAATTTATTTCAATTTATGTTTCAGATACCTAAGAGTCCAAAATCTTTTTTAAAATATAGGTCTTGTAATAATGAAAAAAGTTTTTTTTCAACTCTTAACACCAAGAATAAATTTCTTTGATTTAATTTCATACATAAAATGTACAAAGATTCAATTGATATTTTTTTAATTATTTTTGTTAAGGTATTGAATTGTTTTTTGTTACATAGCTGCCAACTTTTACGAATTTTGCAAAAATTTGTTATTATTGTAGTAAAATTTATGCTTTCTATTTCTTTTTTGGATTTATAAATTTAAAATGATTTTGACTTTCACTGTATCTAAATAAATTAAACATATATATATGTATATATATCNCGGTATATATATATATATATATTTATATATATATAAAAGTATGATAATTCTATGCTAGTGCACTCTTGCAAAATAAATGGTATATTTCTGGACATGCAATTTTACTACCACCTCTCTACCAATCTTTTGTGAAGATTAAATGTATGATGTTGCTACAGCTATAAAAATTATGAGATCTTAATAGTTTGTAAATGAACTTGTTTTTATTTCTTATAAACAGGTGATTTCAGAGAGAGATTCCTTATTATCTGAAAAAGAAGCTATTCAATCTACATTCCAACAAATGGAACAGCTTGAAGAAGTATGTATTCATGTGTTTTAATGCATCTGCTTTGCCTTATGCAATTTTAATAATTCTTTTTAAATATTTTTTTTTGTGTGGTTATGTTTAGCATGATTTACTTCTTTTAAAATAAAAATTTAATTTAAAAAAAATGTATTCTTTCATGACATTAAAAATCAGAGTATAGATATTATTAGCACTAGAATGTTAGACGACCTAAAACAACCATTGCAGTCATTTTGCCCCAATCAGAAAAGGAGCATAAATATTTGATTTTTAATTCAAATATCATTATAAAAAGTTCGAAAAGCTTATTTTTAATAATTTTAAATTTCTGATGTATTTTTAATTCTATTAATTTTAATGTTGTATAAAAAATTACTTTTATTCTCTGGAAAAATATTAATATTAAACATACTATTGTAGATATTAGCGCATGACAATCATTTTTTTTTTTTTTTGTGTTGGCAGAAGAACATTGATGCCATTTATTACTTGTAGTTTCAGAAAAGTCGGGAGTCATACTTTCATTATAGAAAAATTTAACAATCTTAATTTGACAAAACTGATAATAAATGACTTTTTAGAAACTTGTAAAGAGTTACACGTTTTAAAAGAAATTCAGGCAAATTGAAAAAAATAAAACTGGCCATATTCTAGAAATAGTTTATTTTACAATCTGCTTATTCGATGGAACACTTCCTCGCTAAAGTCTTATGGATTGAAGCAATTCACTTTTTTTAAGGAGATTTTAAGGATTATCAACTCGTAAAGTTTACACGATTAAGTATAGAACTAAAAATGCAGATATGTAATAAAAGCTTTTTCATCCTCAATTAGAAGGTTTAAAAAAATGTGATTGCAACTTTGCTTATATCCTCATAATCTTACCCTATTGTAACAATTGCTCATAAAGAGTAAGCAAGTTCTAAGGATGTAAAATAATGTTTCCTGCAAAACAGTGTAAACACATGATCACCATTGTAGTCTTTTTCTAGATAAACTTTTCAAAAAATATTTGGTCTTGAAGACAGTAAACTGTTGGTAAATTAAATATTTTTTACACATTACATTTTACACATTTTAAAAAAATTAAAATTTCAGCTTAGGATTTGTGTATTATGTTTTGTTTTAGTTGCTTGTATTTATTAATGAAATAAAAAAAATGTCTTGATGTTTTGCATTTTTTTTCTTCAAAAAAATTGGTAAGGAAAAGCGATTAACAATTAAAATCTTGTAGCTAGATTTCATTTTTATACTTTTAAGTACCTACTGCAAACATGCTTGTATACTTAACACTGTGGGTTGACCACCGAACAGGAACATCTGCTCCTCTACCTCATAACAAGAAAACTAACATTAGGCCATGGCCCTTTGCACGCTGTTGTGCCACTGAGTTTAGTTTAAGTACCTACTGTTATTAAAATGTACTATTATTTTTGTAGCTGCAAGAGAAATTAAAATTGCTTCAAGAAACTATTCAAAACTCGGAGAGTGAAAAATCTCACTTAGAGCAAAAATATGAAGAGGTAAAATTTTTTTTACATCAAAAGTGATTTCCTTGAGTCTTTTTTCTTATGAAAGGAAAAATAGATCATGCTAAAATTTTAAAATATTTACAGATAAACAAAAACTGTATAAATCTTAGGGACCAATTAGAAAATAAAGAAAACCTATTAGCAGAGCTTGAAAAAGGGAAAAATAGTACAGAACATTTGGCTCAGGTACAGTGTTATTTTTTATTATTATTCCAGTTAGTTTATGAACAAAATGTGATTTAATTTTATAAATAGCATACTCAGTTAAAATCGTTTCCATTTTTTGTTTAGATGTAATTACGAATGAAAATTTAATTACTAATGTTAAATTTAATTTAAGTAGACATTTACAAAATTTCACTTAAAGATAATTTGTTTTTTTAATTGCATATGCTTTAAAAATGTACAGTTTAAGTAATTTTAGATTAAAGAATGTTTTTTTGTGTATCTTAATTACTAATTTTTTAGGATTTTTTACATATGTTTGGAAATTTTACATTTTAATCTATCAAATCTTCCTACACGTAACACGGTTGTCAAACTAAGTCAATCAATTATTTTCAACGTAAGAATAGTGAATTTTGTGTTAGTTCCTCATAAAAGTTGAACCTTTGAATTTCTACTTGTTTTTAAAAAAATAATTTTTAACTAATTAGCATTTTATGTGGTCATAATATAGATTTGACAACTATCAAAGTGTTTAAAAATCGTTTAATCAATTATGATATATGTTTGGGGGGAAAAAATCTTAGAATGGAAATGTATTGTTAGTGTTACTTTAAGGGCTTTAAAAGTAGGCTTATAAATTTGTAAATATGGTATAAACAACCAAATTTGAATAATATTAAGTTTTATAGTAGGTAGCAGTAAAAAAAAAAATCTGGGTTTGTCGGGGTTCATAAATAACCTTTTAACCATCGAATTAATTTTTTAAAACTGGAAAACAATACTAAGAACACTATCCATAGTTTAGAACAGTGGTTACCAACTGGCAAGCCGCATCTGGCCTCTCGAAGCCTTTTTTTTTTTTTTTTGACCTACAAACTAAAATATTTTGGCTTTCATTTTTTGCGGACAATTTTCATAAAAAATCCATATGGATTTAAAATACTTTTCTACTAATTTCTTTGTTTCTGTGATATTTAACGTACCAACGGTGCAAAAAAAAAAAATTATTTCTCAGGTTTTGCATCCAAGAAAATATTTATTCTAATACAAAATTAATCCTGTATGTTGTCTAAAAATCTACTTCTTATTTTAATTTGTAATTCTGATGGTATTATTTAATGTTCCTTCAAACATAAGAGTCCTATATAAAATGCTGATATAGTTGCGGCCCGCCATTAGACTGATGTTTTAATTGTGGTCCCCAGCCTCATGTAAGTTGGAAACCCCTGGTTTAGAATAATGTCATGGCAAATTATCAGTTATTCATTTTAAGACACATAATAAATTATTTTTTAAATGAGTAGTTCTCTTTTAACTCTTTAAAAAGCTTTTAAAAATTATTAGACATTCTTAATTCACCGAAAAAGCCTTTTATAAAATATTAGTTATTCTCATGTCCCTTTATAAAAAAGTTTTGTCATGTCCATTACATAATATGCAGGGCAAATTATAAATTTTTACTTTTAATCAAGAATAAATTTAGTTCTTATGCCTCATAAAGAAAGTTTTTGAATTATTAGTTATTTTACAAAAGTTTTTCTTATAAATTATTGGTTAATATATCAAACATAGCTGCCTACTCTACTGGTTTTTCAGTAGACTACTGGATTTTTCCAGTTTCTACTGTTTTCACAAAAATTCTTGTGGTTTTTGTACAGTTAAAAACATTCCTATTAAAATAGAACTTTTGCTTAGATTCTTGCTTACTTGAATATTTAAATAAGTGTTATTAATACATAATAAAGTGAGACTCATTTATAAAAATCAGCTTAAAATTTTATTTGTTCTAAAATGTTAAGTTTATTTTTATACATAACTACTTCGTTAAATTAATTAAATAATCTTTTAACTATCTTTGATGAATTAAATGCCTATTACTATTTAAAATTGTGAGTCAACATAATACATAATGTTTCAAGTTCATTTAATGTTAATCATAATTGGAAAATATTGAAGTTTTTCTATTTTTATGACTATAAAAATCCCTAAAATTCCCTATGTGTAAAATATTTAGTACATTTTGGGACAGTTATCATGAAATTTATATTTCTTAAAATCTATTGGATTTTTTCCTATCCAAGCTATGATCAAAACATTAAATATTTTCATCAAGTGATCATGTTCATTACAAAGTATATTTCTTTTTCCATTTCAGGAGATTGAAGATTTAAAATCTAAATTAGAAAAAGAAAAGAAAATTAATAAAGACTTTTCTTCTCAAATGATTCGTCTAAACTCTTTAGTCAAGATTGGTCAAGACTCTTTATCTGCTGAGCAAGAGACTGTGAAGAAACTAAAAAGCCAAATAGAGACATTACAAGTAAAAAAAAATGTTTTTAAAATTTTTTTTATAAAGGTTTTTAATTTTATACTGTAGGCAGAATATCTCTTACCGTGCGTTCCAAAACTGATTTACGATTTGAAAAATCAATTAGTGAAAATTGTATAGGATGATAAAAATGTAGTGTCTGCCAGCTAAATTTCAAAATTTGTACCAAAGTTCTTTAACAGATACATGATGCGTAGCGTTTTTAAAAAATGCTCAAAGGTGCTTATTTTCGATTTAAAAAAAAAAAAACTCTAAAGGTGCTTTTTTCATTGAGTGTTTTTAAAAAGTGCTGAATTTTCCCTTTCACAAAATGAGTTTTCTTTACCATGTTGATTTTCGCCATGGTAAAGTGTGCTTTTTTATTATGCATTGTATCCAACATATGCACAATTCATTCAAACAACAATCCCTTTGGTCATACCGTATGAAAGCACCATTTATTTTACATGTTAGATGAAATACTTGTGAGTCTGCATGTGCATCTACTGAGCTGCGTTCGGTGAGATTTTTGCACTCTCATGTGCAATTCTGCTGCATTTTGCCAGATACTCTTAATTTCAGGCTTCATTTTTCACCCTCTGATATTGAACCGAAAATCTCTTGATAATTTTGTAACGGCTAATATAATAAAAAAAAGAGTTCTCTGTTAGAAACTAGTTATTTTATCATGATCATGTAAGGTCTTTAAAAATTATTTTGCATTTTGTTAATGTGCATAGTGCTTAAAAATATTTTTTAGTACTTGAAAGGTGCTTGTTCAAAGATATGACTACGCACCCTGAGATAGTTTTACTAACTGAGTGAAGCCATGAAACAGTGTACAAATACTTCAGTTTGGAGTGTCTGATAATCTGCAGATAACATTTTCTAGTTCTTGCAGTTAGCAATGTTATCTGTTGACAAAGCTTATGGCCAATTTTTTAATTTGGTGAGAATAAAATAACTATTTACCTTAGCAGAATGCTATCTGCTTCTGATTTTCTTAATTCATTTTTAAAAATTGTCAGTTATTTTTGGGACACTAAATAAGAATTCCCTTGTAAAATCCTATTGTGATTGTGTAATTATAAAATTGCAACTCATTTAAAGTTATTATTTTTTTTTTTTCAGTACTGGGGTTCTCAGATTTTAACTGTAGTGACTCGCGTTTTTGAGCTTAATCTATAGTGATAAATTTCTTGCTCTGTGCATTATAGTTTTTCAGAAAACAGCAAACTTTCTTTCTGTTGCAGTATTCTTTCACTTGGATATAATTTGTTTAACACAATATATATATTTATGTGTATCCTGAATATATATATATTTATGTGTGTATATCTATATATATATATATATATATGGGTCATTCTCACGAAAACTGTCATTTTTCAGTTCATAAAATCCCAAAAAAGTAAAGTGAATAAAAAGCTCTGAAACTTTCTATATTAATAGAAATATGTAATGGCATTATAAAGAAAGTATATATCCTATAAATTATACTTAATATTTAAATTAATCAATTTTTTAAATAATTAATTTATAATTAATTAATTTATAATAATTAATAATTAATT